AGAGTGGGGCTTGGTTTGGTGCCCTGTTGAGCCAATCTGCATTCTGGCTCAGTCACTTCTCCCTAACTGTGATTCCGGGCAAATCCTTTGCACACTGCTTGCTCAGTTCTGTGTAAACCTGCGAGGATAGTTCCCACCTCTCTGTTGGGGTACAACTGAGTGAGAACCCGGTACAACATCAGGGGCTCTCCGGCCCGGTGCTTCCCGCCCGCCTGCTCACCCAGCAGCCCGTGAGCATCAGAGGGTGTGTCTGTTACTGCGAATCTGATGCACAAACCCTTAGCCCAGTGATGGCGAACCTTTTGAGCTCGGCGTGTCAGCGTTTTGAAAAACCCTAACTTAACTCTGGTGCCGTGTCACATATAGAAATTTTTTGATATTTGCAACCGTAGTAAAACAAAGACTTATATTTTTTGATATTTATTTTATATATTGAAATGCCATTTAACAAAGAAAAATCAACCAAAAAAACGAGTTCGCGTGTCATAGGTTCGCCATCACTGCCTTAGCCAGTGCTGGCTATGCAGCGGGCGCAGTCCACAGCCCTTCTTCCTATGAATTAAGCCAGTGGTCGGCAAACTCATTAGTCAACAGAGCCAAATGTCAACAGTACAACGATTGAAATTTCTTTTGAGAGCCACATTTTTAAAACTTAAACTATATAGGTACATTGTTATTAATTTAATTAGGGTTCTCCTAAGGCTTAGGAAGAGCCACACTCAAGGGGCCAAAGAGCCGCATGTGGCTTACGAGCTGCAGTTTGCTGACCACGGAATTAACCAGTTTAATATTTATAATATTAAATATATTTGCAATACTAAATACCCATATCTCCCTGATTTCACAGCGGAGGACACCGAAGCACAGAGAGGTCAAGCCACTTGCTCAAGCTCCACATCCCTCCACAGGCTTCCCGGCAGCACCATCTTGCCTGGTGGGAGGGAGGGGCTCAGGTGCTCACTGATCCTCCACCCCCAGGTATCTCTTCCCCTTCTTCCCGACATAAGTGAATGAAATCTGAGCTATTAATCACATATAAATGTCCTCATGCATATCTTTGCGGGGGGGGGGGGCACAATTCAACCCATAGCACTCCCTATTCCTCCCTCGCTGCAGCCTCTGCTAGCCTCTCATTAACATTCCATTTCTGAATTTGCTTATTCTAGATATTCATGTTCTGTAAGTAGAATACAGCATTTGTCCTTCTGTGTCTGGCTTATTTCACTCTGCATAATGTTTTCAAGGCTCATACATGTTGTAGCATGAATTGGAGCTTCATTCCTTTTAATCCTCACCTGGAGATATGTTTTATTGATTTTAGAGAAAGAGGAAGGGAGAGAGAGAGAGAAACATCAATCAGTTGCCCCCTGTATGTGCCCTGACCTGGGGATCGAACCCACCACCCTCTGTTGTGTGGGTCAACAACTGAGCCACACCAGCCAAGGCCAACTTCATTTCTTTTTATGGTTGAACTAGAGCAATGATGGCGAACCTATGACATGTGTGTCAGAAGTGACACGTGAACTCATTTTTTTGGTTGATTTTTCTTCGTAAAATGGTATTTAAATATATAAAATAAATATCAAAAATATAAGTCTTTGTTTTACTATGGTTGCAAATATCAAAAAATTTCTATATGTGACATGGCACCAGAGTTAAGGTAGGGATTTTCAAAATGCTGACACGAC